TAGATAGATAGATAGATAGATAGATAGATAGATAGATAGATAGATAGCCTTCTCTAACCAGGATGCTCTTTAGATATATGGACATTGACATTTTAGCAATGACAATGCTTATTGGAGAATTCATGAAGAATAGTCCTTGTTTTAATGTACCTTTATTGATTGTTAAATAAACTATTTATACTAAGAGTGTAAATATACTTGCACCTTTAGCTACAATTTTATATTGTTATGTGCCATGGTGGTGCAATGGTTAGAGTGCAGTACTGCAGGCTATTTCTGCTGACTGCCAGCTGACTGTAATTTGACGGTTCACATCTCACCAGGCTCAAGGGTTACTCAGCCTTCCATCCTTCTGAGGTGGGTAAAAGGAGGATACAGATTGTTGGGAGCAATATGCTGACTCTGTAAACCGCTTAGAGAGGGCTGTAAAGCACTGTGAAGTGGTATATAAGTCTTATTGCTATTGTATATACCATGGTATGCACAGTCATCTTGGAGTAAAGCCACTTTAGCTAAAGGGGATCCTAACTTGGATAAAGTTGTATTTTAATATACATTAAATTGTTCAAGAAAAAATCTTCTGGAAATAAAGTTTTTGACTGAATTGTAAAAATACGAAGAGCCAAAGCTCTTTGTCTGAATGGATTTGAATATTGTAAAAGACAATGGGTTCATTTTATTTTACATCTTTATAGCAGTTTCATAGTACATTTAATATGACTTCTATGTACAATGTACAAGCATTGTACATAACAGAATCTCTCCTGTATTTCATGCAAAGAATCAGTCTGTGGACAATATGTTCCACAAGCATAGCAGTTCATCCTGAAATCTCTGTTAGAAAGAAATAATACTGTCCTTGGAAAATGATGATTTAACTCTACAATAAAAATAAAAATCAGTGCTGCGCAGTTTTTTTTCAAACATACTTTGGAGAGGCAATTTTTTCTAACTGATGTTGCTTTGATTAACCCAACAACCTAAGACCCAATAAATGGCTGTATGTCTCTTTTCATATAAATGTTTATTGTTTATATTGAGTACTTTACAAGGACATAATCTGAACCACGTATTCAAAAACTGGATGATAAAATGTCTTTCACCATGCAGTTCCGATATTCATATATTTATTATCTTCTTGCTGTTTGCATTGCTTTAATAGGAAAAAAAGATAGTTTCATTGAATAAGAACAAGTGTTTTGATTCTGAAGGATACATTCTTTGTGCCTGCGAAGGCCAGGTTAGGAAAACAGAGTGAACTTCCCAGTCAGTAATAGAAAATGACTAATGTTTCCTGTTTAACTTTTACTGATAGGGTCGAGATTGCAGCACACCTATTCATGCTTGCATTCAGAATCCATGCCAGAATGGGGGAACTTGCCATCCTACTGACACAAATCAAGACGGATTCAGGTAACCAACAACAAAGCGTGATTAAAACCAATGATGGCAATGGATAAAGCAACTTGTTTTCACTACTTTGATGCATAAAAGGCTACCGTACAAAACCATCCCAGAGAAATTAAACTAAAGCATGGTCTAGATTGGCAAATTAAATCATTGGCTCAATTGCTTTGAATGAGAAAGTGATAGATGCACTTACATTTTTCCTGTTTAAAACCGGCAGACTTAAAAGTATTTAACTTTGTCTTTACCAAGACCTTCATCTGAAACAAAGAATTATATTTGGGTCAGGGCTGGGTGGATTGTATGCATGCAGTCATCCCATTTTGATTCTAATTATGTGCTCTGGAGCATACGGGAGGGTGGTGTAGCAGTTCTTTACAAGAGCTTGTAAGTCAAATCTTTTCAGAGCACAAAGCAATGATTTCAAAGATTTGCAGACAGGTGCTATATTAAACAGTTAATATGTCCTTTATCTATTGCCACTTCTCTTATTAAATCCCTACAACTTCTAAGTTTAAAACATTCCTTGGTTCATTGTTTAAAGTGGAATCTTAGGGTAACTTCCAATTGGATTCTAAGAGGTCTCAGAAGTGTTTGGGCTGGTTCTGCAAATGATTCTGTCAATTTCTGTTTAATAGACAGAAATTCTATCTAGTAGGAGGTAGAAGTAGGAGGGCTGTCAAGATTTTTCTAAATTGGTTTTTCAACATACTTCAAAGATGATCCTATAACACACGAAAGAACTGCAGGTCCTGACTTGAATATGATAAGGCACAACAATAAGCGTATGCAGGCTTTGCTATATTAATATGTGCATTAAAGCTTCAGCTTTTTCCTCTGCTTTTATTGCACCAACAAACTCAAGGCATACGGAATTATTTTAGATTTATTTATTCATTAAATAGATCTATAGGGCCATCTAACTCATACATGATAACTCCAGGCAGCATACACATTAAAAATCAACAATATAAAAGCCCTAGAATGTACGTGTGCACACACACACACACACACACATCATGGCAGTGACAAACGCAATTTTACAAGCCACTTGATCAGGTGCAAATCAACCTGGGATCCCCAAGCCCACTGACAAAACCCTATCTTCATGGCATTCCAGAAGGAGGGGATCAACCTTATTTCCAGGGAAATGGTGTTGCAAAGGGAGGGAACCACTATAGACAAGAACTTCTTCTAGATTCCATGAGGTGTACTTCCTTAATAGATGGAACCTATAACAGCCTTTCCACTCTGGTGGCCAAGTAGACTTAACTTGGGGAAACACAGTTTGTCCTATATCCTGGCCCCAAGTCATACAGGGTTTTGAGCAGTCTAACTTGTACTCCTGTCTCCTCCTTCCAGAATTATTTTACAAAACCCTCAGAGGATTGTTATAACACTTTATGTGAGGTTTTTGAGGAAAATATCTCTGGTGACCAATCCTGATGCCACCTTTGATGAAAAGCTAACTTATGTCTATATCTACTGACTCCTTGTACTATAGGATACATTTCAATATGTGATATCTGGGGATGTGGACATATTTCTTGGAACAATATGTTCCACCACTGGATCTTTCTCAAAGGTGGCTCATAAGTTCTAGCCAGTAGTATATTAAAGGTGCTATAGTTCACATCATACTTCTTTGTCAGTCCTTTAAAGTAGACTAGGAAAGGTTAAGAATGCCAGTACTACATTTTTATGAAGTTATAGAAACAGAATCTTGCAAGTCTGAATGCACTTCCCCTTCCTTCAAACCTGAGACACTTTCTCAGATTGCTTTTCAACTTAAAATTTCTTTTGCCTAACATTGTCTTGGTTCTGACTCTTCCTCCTGTTTCTCAAAGTTACTTTTACAGCCGATTATTTTAAGAAATAGCAAAATGTATCCTTGTTTGAGTGAATCAGTTGTTAGTGCTCTTCTTAAGAAGCCTGCTGGATCTCTTAAAGATGGGTGATTATGAGCCAATCTGTAACTCATATGATTAGACAGGTGGCTGATAGATGTTTTTCAACTGCAGGCAGACCTGGGGGAAGAAATATTGTGACAAATTTAAAATGACTTCAAATGGGCTACATAATTGAGATTGTCTTGATTAGGTCGATGTATTATTTTTGTCTTGGGATTGACAGAGGGAGCATAGCCTGTTGGGTTTTTTTTTTTTTTTGGATCTCTCAGGTTCCTTTGATATCATTGCCTCGAAACAAAGGCATAGTTTTGTAATGGTTCCATTATTCAGTCTCCAACACTTTAATTTTCTACAAGAAACTACTGAAGGGGATCAGAAGTTTTGGAATTGTGTTCTATCAGTAAGCTGACGACATCAAGATTTATTCTTCAGGAACTGGTGTGGCTTCTCTGAATGCCTGTCTGCAAACAGTAATAGGGTAAATGAGAGAAAAATTGAAATTGAATCCAGAGAAGGCAAAGAAGCTTATTATAAGGGTCTATAATTCGGGGGAGATGATAGATCAGCCATTCTGAATGGGATTTTATCCTCCCTTTTGGTTACAAATATCTCTGGTTTCCTAGATTGAAGAAATGATTAGGAACACCTTTTGCCAACTTTACCCTTTCTGGAAAACAATGATCATAAAGCTATGATTCATGCACTGGTAACCTCCCAGGGTGACCACAATCAATGCATACTTAAATCTAATAAAGAAACTTCAATTGATTAGGCCTAACTATTTTATTAGATCTTTTTAAAAAATCATTGCTTTGTATAGGGCTTTAACTGTTAATATTTATTCTAATTATTTTAACTATTTGCTGTCATTGCTATTTTATGGTTTTAGTATCTTTACTTTAAATTTGTAGTTAATCACTGAGATAGTAAGCACCATACACACCTCCACTTCAAAACTCACAAATTCACATGCACAGAAGTAATGCAGAAGAAACTCCTCTAATTACCTCATAGACAAGCCTGTGAGAGTGGATACATTTTTAAAAGAAGTTCTCTTATTGGCAAGTTATTGCCCAGATATCCAGATTCATTGGGCCATTTTAACCAGCCCTTCACTCTTCCATAGATTTATCAAATGGCAATTATCTCTCCATTGTACAGAGCTCCTCCATGTTCAGATCAACTGGACCCTAAATAACTGTACAACTGAAATCATACACACAACCTTCTACAATGCTATTACAAATCTGGGACTGGAACAACTAGTAACCAACAACACTAGACTAAACAACTGCCTCGATCTCATCTTCTGCAACAGTTTGAACCTAATCTACGGAATACAATCTAAAGAACCCTTTTCCAGTAGTGACCACAATATGATAGACTTTTGTCTCAACATACATCCACACAAAAATCACCACAATGATGTAATCCCTTATTGTAACTTCAAAAAAGGCAACTATGATCTTATAGACAACGATCTCTCATCCCTTGATTGGCAATCTCTATTCACTGGATGCAATACCGTTGAAGACCATTATAACATGTTTTTACTTGAAGTCAAAAGAGTCATCAAACTATATGTACCAACAACAACTCCCAAAACAAAACAAAAAAGCAGATTACCCATATCAATAAGGAAACTTCAATCCAAAAAGAGATCACTCTGGCGGAAAAACAAATCTGGTCACGTTGCCAATTTCAAAAACCAATACAAAAATCTATGCCACCAGATAAAGACCGAATGCACCAATTATCACATTAAACAAGAGGAAAACCTTCTAAGCACCAATTCCACCCGCGCTTTTTACAATTTTGTAAACAACAAACTAAAAGACTCAAGGTCCATCCCTCCCTTGATAGGACCTGATGGTAAAGACTGTAACGACGACACCATTAAAGCCAACATCTTTAACACATTCTTCGGCTCAGTATTTGTAAACAGCAATGGATCATGCCCAATATTTCCTAGCCGTACCACAGATAACAACAATGATCTAATACATATAGATTTCACAGAAGACAATGTTGAAAAAGCACTACGCAACCTAAAACCATCTCTATCTATTGGACCGGATGGAATATGTGCCTACTTCTTAAGAAAGCTATCCACTGCCATAGCCAAACCTCTAAGCATAATCTTTGAAAAATCTTTCAGAACCAGCTCCTTGCCTAACCTATGGTCACAAGCCACAGTCATCCCCATCTTCAAAAAGGGAGACCCAAGCCTAGTTGAAAATTACAGGCCAATCTCCTTATGCTGCGTCACCTGTAAAGTCATGGAATCAATTATTAACCAATCCATCATCCTTCACTTAGAGACAAATAACCTACTCTCCAATAAACAATTCGGTTTCAGAAAAAAACTATCCTGTAATCTGCAACTCTTACACTGCAAAAACATATGGACGACACAACTCGACCAGGGCAAAACAATAGACGCAATCTATATAGACTTCTGTAAAGCCTTTGATTCAGTGGTACACGACAAACTACTCCTAAAAATAAAATCCTATGGTATCTCTGGACAACTGAATAACTGGATAGAAGCATTCCTGTCAAACAGACAACAAATGGTCAAAATCGGGAGCGTCCTATCAAATCCAGTACCTGTCAATAGTGGTGTTCCCCAAGGCAGTGTTCTAGGACCAACTCTCTTCATACTCTACATAAACGACCTCTGTGATCATATTAAGAGCAATTGCGTTCTCTTCGCTGATGATGTAAAGCTGTTCAATACCACAGACAATACTGCTACCCTACAAAAAGATCTTGACTATGTATCCGAATGGTCAAACAAATGGCAACTTCAAATCTCAACAAATAAATGCTCTGTCTTACATATTGGCAAAAAAAATCAGAAAATAAAATACAAGCTGAATAGTCAAGATCTTGTTGATGACCCAAGCTCTGTAAAGGACCTTGGAATACTCACCTCTAATGATCTAAGTTCTAGAGCCCACTGCAACTACATAGCCAAAAAGGCATTAAGAGTTGTTAACCTAATCCTACGTAGCTTTTTCTCTGGTAATATCACACTACTAACCAGAGCATACAAAACATTTGCTAGACCAATACTCGAATACAGTTCATCAG